ACACCCTCCCTAGAGAGAGCACTTGGCGGGCAAGTTCCTGTTCACTCTTGGGTGCCAGAGTGACATACGTGGTGTTCCGACATTTTGGCTCCTTCTCAGCAGCGGCGGGCAGCAAGCCAGCGCGGCACCAAAAGTTCCAGCAATTCTCGGAACAACCCTCGTCCCAGCGGTTCCTTTGCACGGCATGGCACACTGTAGACATTGCTTTAAAACGTTTTTTTGCTTCCCAGAAGTAGGAGACACAAAGAAATACGAAGAATCCCTGCTGCAAGACATCATGGCGGTTCAAGCGCTAAAGCAGGACATGCCATCCACTAAAGTTCGCACAAAGCGAAGGCAACTAAGAAGCTGCATGAGCTGATGCATGAGACCTTGCANNCACGCACTTCGTGCAGTGCATGGTGGCGGTTTCGAGTGCAGTAGGCGATGTCGTCGAATTTTCATGCTGGGCATCAGCTTGCGCAACTCGGCCTGAGTATTGGAGTTTGGGACTTTTGGGGTTTAGTAAGATTAAGTTGTATGGAATTAGACTAGAATATGGCGTTGGGCACACGGTATGGGGATCTCAGGGTTCAGTTGCTTCGTTCTTGGTGGATCGGAGGCCTCGCGCGATTGTTCTGTGATGATTGACGGCCTGTCAGCGCCCCAGAGCATTTTGATTGCGCAGCACTTCGCGGAACGGTCGTTCGAGAGGTTCAGGGTTTGACAGTGTTTAGGTTGTGGGATTCGGATTTGTGAGACAAAGACGGCACTTCCATCCTCCGAGCAACCGGTGGTCGATCCGGGCTAGGCCCGAGGAACTAGGAGACGCCACCCCCTCAGTATTTGTTGAGGCATGGATATGCAATGATATGCATATGCTAGGCATCACGGAAGGCAGTTGCTGAGTCGAGGCGTGTGTTGCTTGGGGTTCGAATCTGATCGCCGCCTTCGAGCAACAACTTTGCCCGCGGTAAGACTGTTGCTCATCATGCTGCAAGATGCCTTGAAAAGGGCCGGATTGTGCGACCTTTAACTCCCTGCCGATAGTTTCTTTCCGGTTCCATATCTCTGGGCATGCGCATGAAGCGTCGTACCGATCGTGCAAAGGATTCACGAGAAGTCGAACGAAGGTTTGGAAGTTGGAAGCCTTAGAACCCTGAAACCTTAAAGCCCTAAACCCTAAAACCCTAAAGCCTAAACCCATGTTCTCTGCCCGGCGAAGAAACGATCCGAGGCTGCTGGAGCAGCACCTCAGCATGCGCGAAGCCGGGCTCCCCATCAGAGCTTGGGATCGAATCGATAGCTCATGGAAAGATGATGAAAGCCTTGCGTTGCGTTGCGGCGCAGCGTGGCTAGCTCCGCCTCCAGCACCAGCACCACCACCTTCACCACCATCGCGATTTTTTGCTGCTACAGTACTGCTGCTACTGCTACGACGACGACGACTACTACTACCATCAACACTACTAAGGCCGCTACCACTACCACGACTCGCAGCTGCTTCTTTTACGATGAGGGTTTTCATTTTTGGTTTACTATTGATTCTCTGGTGCATATTGAGGGGTCGGAATCAATAGAAATAGTTTCCCGCTGTAGTCGCCGATATACTGTACTGCTCCCAACAACCCGATTCAGGCTGTATTCTGATCATTAAGGAAACTAGCATAGAACCCCGTTTGCATACCTTATGGAGCCCCCCTTAAAGCCCCCAGGCAGCCCGCGAAAGGAAGCCCCATTCCCATCATGAAGGCCCCTCCTTATCTTCTTCCAGGCCGGCGGCCGATCGGCCATGAGTTGCCGGAACCGCAGGCCGGATCCGGGTTTGTTCCTCGGGAGACTCGAGCTCAGTTTAGGCTTAGGATTTATAAGGTACCCAGCGGTGACCTGAAGGGCTCCGTGCTTCGGGGGGCATTTTGAAAGCTCGAGTTGGCAGGGGGATGCGTCAAAAAGATGTGGAGCTTTTTTTTTTTAGCAGTTTCGCAGACGTCGGAGACCTCAAACAGCAGAGTCGCAGTGGCATCTTGATCGCGAACTCGATGTTCACACGTCCTGGCTCGGTAGCCCGCAAAGCAGCTTGCATGATAATCTGCAGTACGAGGCACTAAGGTGCACCTCCATTCAAGATGTGACAAGTTGGTGGGTAGCCGTTCGAGAGCTTCACTGTGCTCTCAGAGATTTCTCGCACCGGTCGTGGCTGATGGTATGACAATGACAAGCATCATGATCTGCGATGTTATGCATGCATACTTTGTTTCGCGCACATATCATGCATGCATACATATACAACAGTACACCCACACAAGTTTATTTATATTGACATGTGTATGTGTTCATAATCACATCTGTATCTAGAAAGACACGTATATTGATATGTAGATTTAGATGTAGATTGATATACATATGTATATACATACTACCAGCCATTCGTGTTGTGGACCCAAGGTCAGTCAACTTCAGACCACAGCAGGTGCCCCACCATGCAGAATGCTGCGCACTGACTCGCTGAAAAGATTGCGAGCGTCACTTGCTGTCATTTTGCTCAGCGTGCTCGGGCCATTCCGACTGGAACGTGAGTTCTGGTCGTGTTGTGGCTTTCCGCAGCAGCCGGTGCAGGAGTCGTTTGGTGTGCTGACTTGACATGCTGGGGTGATCGAATCATGCGAGCTGAACAGTTTTAGCCGCTCCAGTTGTAAGCTCTTAAGCTCTTAAGCATTCGAATACGTAGGCTCTGTGGACAAGCTGGCTCCCGGTACGATGTCGCGATATGTGTTATCATGCGTTTTCTCTTGTTGTGGTAGCTCGTCGATATGGGTGTGCCGCTCGTTCTGATCGTTTCGGCCCACAGTCCGTCTTGCCAGTTGGCCGCATGTGGCCAGTTTGCCGTTGGAAGTCCAAGACTTGCATGCGCAGCGACAGGTCCAGTTGAAAAGAGTTGATTCCTTCGCAGCTCTAGATCGCTTAACTTGCATGCGAGGTTTTTGGTTCCAATAACCAAGCCGTGCATATCGACTGTCATTCATTTTGTCCATGAGCTCGTCTTCCAGTGTTCGTCGGAATGGATATCCAGCGCAGGTTCGTGCTGCATGTTTGCACTCGATAGCTGCTTCTGCTGTGTATGAGTTTCGTATTTGGGCTTCATTTGCAGGCCCGGCCTTCTGCAAGCAGGGCGGCTCCCTCCGTGAACAGCCGAGCACCAACAGAAGCGCAGGCTTCATCTGGCCAGCTTCCCAAATTAAGTCAAGAAGAAGAGTCAAACGGCAATGCATGGCATGGATTAGTGTGGGGGCTTCATGAAGTGAGCTCTGGAGGCTGCGCGCTCCAACCGAGATCTGGGCACAGCTAGATCCGCTCCTGCGTTGGGTGTGCAAGCGTCGTCTTCCACTGCAGAGGCTGGGAGCTGCGGCAGCTAAAACGTGTTTCTGCAAGACATTCCCGAGTAATTAAGAAATGCGAGTGTCATGCCCGTGTGATAGCTTTGAAGCAGGCAAGTCGAGCGAATAAGAAGGCGAAGCCAAAACCCAAGGCCATCGCCGGTGTGCAATTTGCTTTCCGAGTGTGCAACAGCCAAACCTTTGCTGCAAGAGCCATCATAGACATGCCGCTTTTGAGCTTGAATTTTCGAGCATGGAGGCGAAAGAAAAGACGCTTTCTATCGACGAAGACTTGCCCGGGGACCCAGTCAAGATGGGTTGCGTCTTCAACACTATCAGATCAGATCAAGATGTTCGCGGTCTCACGCGCTGGAACGAAGTTGGTAGCATCGTGTTTCCGTGCGTACTTTACAGATGCGCATCATGCCTGCACCCAGGCTGCCGATCCCACACGGCTTGCTGTGCGTGATTTGCAGGGACCCTTTCAAGGACGATTGCTGTCGAGTATCATGAGATGGTGCTCTGTGTCCTGCTGGTGCATGTTATGAGCAAGGATCCCGTCTTCACTGAAGACGGTCACTCCTACTGTCGTGGATGCATCTTGGGTTGGTTCGGAGCTCATGATTCCAGGCCAGGCCCAAGCAGTCATTGGGTGAGTCTTGTGTCTTGTGTTACCATCCCAGCAAATCAGCTTTGCCAAGTTGGTGCAGCAAGTGCAGGGTTCGCGAATTCTACGAAGTGCCGGCAAACATTGCGCCTTACAGCAGGATGGGGGTGCATGCACTTGCTTGGACGGTATCACGTCCCATCATGTGCAGAATCAGTGTAGAAGTGGAGAGACGCCAGAAATGCCGTAGCACCAGGAAGATGCCGCCAACGCTCCTCGCTCCAATGACGCAGCTTCCGTTGACCAGCCGCACACTGCACCCAAACATCGCGTTGAAGCAGGCCGACCACGGTTACGATTCCCAAAACCACCGTCAGAACTTTTTGCAAGCGAGAATGCGTTTACCCCGTCAAGCCCTCGAAAGCCTATCTGACTTGCAGAGGCTGCCAAAAGCCAAGCCAGAGTAGTCCTACTGTAACTTGAAAGCCTTCTGCAAGGTTTCCCCAAATCAGTTCTGGCCTGTGCATCGCTGTAGGCAGTGGAGGCCTTCCGGTCCGAGCGACCGGCTGAGGAGGCACGTGAGCGGGAGCGTCGCCAGCTACTGCAGAAGGTCGAGGCGGGCCTTGCGGAACGTCTGGTCGCAAGCGGCTTGCGATCTCCGTGCGATCTCCCTCGGAGGAAGCCAAAGCTGTTGAGGGGGACCTGAAGTCAAACTTCAATCAGGCACATACTGTCGTCATGCCGGATATATGCAGCATCTGTTAAGTTTTGCTTGGAAAGGAGTTGGAGGCTCTTCATGGCAAAGTGCAGGATCTGCAGGCTGCAGCCAGGGAGTTCGGCGATTCGGCACTGATGCAGGCCTGCCTTCTCAGAATGCAGGATCAGCTCGGGCAGGCGAACGTCGATCTCCAAGCAGCTAAGGCAAGGACAATCTTATCCGGTTCACGACTCTGCTTGCGACTCCATTTGCAGGAGGAGGCGGTGAAACTTCAGGAGAAGGCAGAGGTCTGTGCAGGCTGGGTTGGATTGATGGCGCCCGCTAGCAGCATTCGTTGTAGAATCGCTGTCGGGCAGGTTCAGAAATGCGACGCCATCGATATCAGAACCATTAAAAACTGTTGTTGTCGTGGAAATCTTGGTCGGCTTCGTAGGCAGGCACCATTAGTGCAATGCTGAGCATCCAAATTTTTCTGAATGCTTGACCCATGTCATCCCAGTTCCGAGAAGCCGCAGCTGAGTGTTCTCATCTTGTTGTCAAGTACGAATGCTCAAGGACGGCAGCAATGGGAAATTCGAATCCTCAAACAAATCTATCCTGATGAGGAATTCATGGAGCTTGTGGCTGTCCGTGAATCTTTAGTCTTCAAAGGGCGGGGCCCTAGGATGGCTCGTGTAGGCGTCGCGGTTCCCGAGTCCGAGAGGTTCCCAAGTTTCTGGCTTTGGTTGCCGCCTTTCCAGCCTTCTGTAAGTTTGCGGCTGCTGCCTGTCTCTACGCTCCGTGTGTATGGCAGGAGATGATTTCGATGACTTGGAATATGAACTTGCGCAGCTGGAATCAGAGTTCGAGAAGGAGAGCACACGCCTCAGATAATGGCCGTGCACGATAGCAGACCAGTAAATTCCGTAAAAAAAGATCGGAGCTGTTATCGCCGTCGCCCGCAGGCGCAGAGGAGCTGGGACTCGTTCGACTTCCGTACCACACGGAGATTCCTGGCCAAAGGCCCAAGTTCAGCCGTCCACGATCTCAATCAGCCTAGCAGAAAACCGCTGATCCTTTTCCGTTTCGAATTCGTCAGCATGCGCCATTGCAAGTTGCACACCTCGCACCGCGGAGCTTGTGTGCATCTGCCTCTCTCTCTCTCTCTTCTCATTCTTCTCATTCTTCTGTGTCTGTGGCTACCGACTGAACAACACCGCCTTGTCAATTACATATTGCTCGCTATGGTTGCTGGCGGACACTAATTCGACTCGGATCTGCCAAGCAGAGTTCGAACTTGCCATGAATTCTCCAGGCCGTCCATCGAACGATCTGAAGGTCTTGGAGCTTGTGCCATGTTCTATCAGAGAAGTGCCCATCACTCCCCAGGAGCATCTCTCAGGCAATCTCAGGCAATTATAGTGGGAAAAACTGCAGAGAAAGCCGCGTTTGTACTCCCCAGCACGATGAATCCAGCTAATCGTTTGAGTAAGCGCAATGTTTCATGCCTGCACTGACTCAAGCACCGCCAAGGGAGTGGACACAGCATCTCGCAGTCAATGGAGTTGATCCTTTCAGGGCAGTCCAACAGCTAGCAGAATGATGTCGACTACAGCTTTGGATCAGTGGTACGGTGTACTCTCATTCTTAATCACCTGACTGTGCCTGTCCACACCTGGTTTGCTCTTCAAGGTGGGCGGCCAGCTTTCTGAGTTTGGCCGCTTGCAGTTCGATTCTTCATGCACCGGGCTTCTGAGTTGTATTGAGTTGTCGAGCAGCAGACATCCCACCGGAGGCAGTGCTGCGATCAGATGCTGAGCTGCGCAACAGAAACCGACTGCATCATCGGTGCCATGCAGACAGAAGAGCAGTCCTTGGTACCTGGATCTCTGGCTGCACTAGTGTTCGATACACCAAAAAACTGAGCCACCCGCCGGGGTCAAACGCAGGGTTCTGTGCGATCGTGATGGCCAGGATCTTCGAGCAAGGCCGAGACGCCGGCGACTCCAGCCGGCCAGCTGGCGCCCCTCGCGCCACTCGCGCCAGCTGGCAAGGCCTCGAAGCGACGCCAGGCGCAGCCGGGGAAGCTGCAGCGGCCTTGCTCCGCATCCAAAAAGCCGGGACCCCGCCGCGAGGCCTCGTGCCGTGTGAGCTGGGCGCAGTTCCGGGCATCGAAGCTCCCACAAATCAAGGCCAGTGACCGTGCTCTGGTGGCCCTGACACGCTTGCTCACTGTCGCAATAGGCCGACCTGGAGAACCAGTGGGAGATGCTGATGGCAGATGCTGAGGTGTGCAACTGGTGTCCGTAGATTCGTACAATCAGTGCCCACGTGAGGCTAGAGACCTCCTGACGATGCGTTACGACTCCGCGCTAGCTACCCAGCCTGAGATGTCACTCTTACACAGGGGTGTGCCTGAGGGTCGGTGCGGCAGTGCCACTCCAACAATTTGTGGAGCCGTCAACGGGAGTCGGCACACGAGGTCTCCACATGCAGCGCTTGCTCAGTTTCGCGAGGCCGGATGGCTTTGAGTCGACTGCTGAGTCCTCCCCTGCGTCTGACAGGAGCTTGACCGTATGATTGCGGAAAGGACCCAAACTCTGGAGCGAGGCTGGATTTCCAGTCTTGTCGCGTGCAGCAAGACAGCAAGTTGCAGAGAGCGCGCAAGGGGCAGCTGCCTCTGGGCCTGCGACACGCGCTCCCAGGTCTGTCGCTCGAATCTCTAAAGCTTATCAAGATTCAACACTGCGAAGTTTCGCAGGGAAACACAATTTCGAGTCCAAGCAGGTCATCGCGCAGCGACGTTCCTCCTCCGTCGGCACTGTTACGTCGGCTTGGGTGGGCCCAGGGTTTTGCACAGTGTGTATCAAGTGCAAGGACAGGTAACCGTGATGCCAATCCAAGTGTTCCTTCTGTAGGCAGTCTACGTTTGTCACACCGCTTGAGCTTTGCCACCTGTCCGGCTTCGTCTTCTAGCATTGCGTACCCTCAAAAGCTTGCCACTGGTGCCATGGGGTAGTTTGGCGCATAGAATTTCCAGGCTGGATGCTGCCCGGTTGCCCTCTGTAACCTTGGTCTTCCTCGACCTGTCACTGCATCACAAGGCCTGGTTTTGCAGGAGTTGCACACGGACTGTTTCAAATTAGTCGGCCGTCGGCCAGTCTCTGTTGAAGGTGGACAGTGACGAGGAGGTCTTGTCTGCTTTGAAGGATGGAGAGTGCTTGTCAAGTTTGAGTAGTTTGGCCAGTGCCGCACTTTCCCCTGGCTTCGTGCCTGCCAGCTGAGTCAAAGGAGTTGTGCGGGCTTTCGCCTCTGCGACGGAAAGCTCCGGACTCGGTCGTTGCAATGGCAAATCCTGCACGAGGATTGCCGTCGTCAATTTGAGCTTTTTGCGTCGTGACGGCGGGTTGCCGGCTAGCAGATGTCGCTGCCCACTGTGACCTGGAATGTCGGCTCACGCAGCTTCTCAGAGAGAGACATTCCAAGCTGTCCACAACGATGACAAGGACAACGGCCGAGAGCCTGTGTGAGGCAAGAGCTGCCAATGTCCTGCAGCCTGCAGTCAATCTAAGCACACATGCCTTGTTAGAGAGAGCGCTGTCGCGTGCTGAAACTGCGAATCTATGCGATTCTGGGATGTCGATTCCGATGCGGGGGAGCCACATCCGTCATCACCCAGCTGGACTGGAGGCTAGAGATGTTTGGTTTTGGGCCGCTGGACAGTGCAACATGAATGCGATCGGCTCCTGACCGAATTGTGTTGGTTCTCAAGTTGTCCTGCAGGCGTTTCATCCGGACTATGCGTCGTGCTGGTACTCTTCATCGGTCTTGGAACCTTGGCCATCGTTTACTTGACATCAAGCGTGCCTGTCATGTGCTGTACTGTACCAGTTTTCTCATTGAGACTTGCTGGCTTCTAGCGAAGAGGTGTCTCACCCGCAGCAACAGATAATTGGATGAATTAGTGCAATGTCGAAGGCCCTCCGCCGTGGCACAACATGATTGGCACTAGAAGTGCTTGAACGACATCATGACGAGTTGAATTGAGGTGCCCACAGCAGCAAGAATGCACTGGCCCCTGCAGCACCGCTCCTGGAAGCGGAGGCGAGTTTGGCTTCCCTCCTTGCTTTTCTCGGTTGAAGGACGGGTCAGCGAAATCAGGTTGCAGGGTTTAGGACCTAGTATTGAGGTTGGAGCTGACTGGTTTTCTGAGCTTCCTCAATGACTCCAACAGAAATGGTCTAGGGAAGCCTGTGTCTTGACTCCATGCGATGAAGCTTCGCCGTATCTGCAGGGAATGTCGGCGCTGCTGTGCCCCAGTTGAAACAAGACATTGAACCTTTTCAGGACTGACTGAGCGGTGGAAGAGCGCGAGCATAGCATTCGGTGTTTGCATGTGCAGGTCTGGGGTTACCATGTGCAGTCGGCCTCTTGTTGCTTGGAAACCGTCTCTTTCGAAGAACGGTTTCGTCCAGGTATGGGCAGGTGAATAAAGCGAACATAAGATGGATTGAAGATGGAGTTTTTTCATTCATCAGGCTCAGAGGTTTCTGCACAGCTCAGGTACTCGATGATCGCTGCCTCCCCACAGCTGGGCGCAATCGTTGCACCAGCGCCTTGATGCTTCAGTGGCTGTCTAGATCAGTTCGGTGCTTCAGGCGGCACGAGTCTGGGATAGTCTGGGCCTGTCTTGATTCTGCGCACAGGTCTTGTGGGGAATGGCCTACACTTGGTCCGAACGTGCCTTGCGGCAATGCTGTGCAGAGTCATGCAAAGTCAGTCGAAGATGCTTGGTTGTGTCACCGGAAATGGCTGAGTAGGACGTGACGAGACCGTCCGTGTGAAATGTTTATCCCTGGAAGGAGTGGAGGAAGGGAGGGGAGCGATAGACAGAGACTTTTTGGCTGTGCCGGAGCTGAAATGCAAGCTTGACACTCATACATGTGGTCATGGGTGCTTGGTCGCCGATTCCTTCCCCTTTCCAGTGCTGTCTCTTTGTCTTTGGCTTGGGCGGGGTGGTGGCAGCAAGAGGAACGGAAGGTGGTTGTCACAGTCGTGACGAGGGGCAGGCAACGGGAAGAGGTTGCTATCTGTCTGCTCAAGTGAAGCGATTGACGATTGAGCACCCATCCCCATGAATTGGCTCCAGCCTGCATGCTTCCAAGAGCAATGCCTCAGAAGTCGTTTTTCAGCAAAACAGTTGGCAGCTTCTTGGCACGCGCCCCTTCTCGCAAATTCCGACCGATCCCTTCCCCTTCGCTTGTGCTGCCTTCATCTCGGTACCCCATCGCCCCTGGATCACGAGAAGCCGGCCAGATCAAACCGTTCGCCAGTGCGAGCTGTCGCACGCACGGCGCCCCCTTTCAATTTCTTCGAGTCAGTGTGGCACCCGCGCTCTTGATAGTTGCTTTGCTTCCGGCACACCACATCTACTTTGGACTTTAGCAGGCTTCTAGGCGACGGCAGTCAATGCGGGTGAAGAGGACAAGAACGTAGAACAGAGGATTCACGTGAAAGGGCGTGGTCACCTGGTGTGTTTTAAGCTTTCCAGGCCTGGTCCAAGTCCTCGTCCCGTTGGGCGACTTCCTCGGGCAGCTGGTGCTCGTGGCCGGGTTAGAGTTATGGGCTGCTCGGCTGCAACAGAGATCGTCCAAGCAGAGTCCCGGACTGCGTGCTCGACTCGACATGCACCCGTTTTGAAAGAAGCCCGTATGTACTGGATTACATCACGGGCATTTTGCAGCAACCTCAGGCGGCGAACGCTGCACCGCATCTGCACCTTGACGCGCAGACTTCGGTTCTTGCAACATAGTCGGTTTGAAGGCGCGGGGGTTGCCAGAGGCAGTCGCCCTGCCCAGTCTGCAGCCGAGGACCGAGATGGTGCTGGCCTGTGGCCTCGTGATTTTTAGCCCAGATCTTGGCCTCGCCGGATTCAGCCTACTGCTGCTCTTCAAGCTCTGCTTGCCTAGGTATCGCTCGTGCTGGCGTCGGCGTTGTGCAACATGCTGCGATGGCGCGCCTACTTTTAGGGAAGAGGCCGGCATTAGCACGTCAGAATCTGGAGCGATGCTGGTGATTTGCTGTTGCTCACACATGACCATGACCTTGCCACTCCTAATCGCTTACAATTCTTGATCCCGTTGATGCCGTGCGTGTTCAAAGCTGTCTGGGCTCGGAAGCCGGTATCAAACCAATACACCGAAAGATTACTGCAAAGCAAGTCTGCAAAAGGCAAGCAAGTGGACAGCTAAGACCTGGTACATACCTCATTCTGCCACTCCGCGCAACCCGTTGGTGAACGACAAATGTTCCACAGCCGCTGTTTGAGCCATGCCGAACTCGCTCAGCATTGCGATGGTGGGATGCACAGGCCTGGATGTCACACACATCGGTTGAGTTCATGACATAGAGCCGAAAGCAAGGAGTGCCGGACTGCAAGGCACAGGCAAGACATCGCTGGCTCGACGTGCAGGCTTGACGCCTCAGGAGACGGCCAAGTCGTCCATAGACTCGTACCATTTTTGTCGAATGATGCCGGGCCTCCTTTCCGCGAGCGAAGGAGGCAGCAGAGGAACCGCAGGAAGTGCCCACATTGATGGTCAGGCGTGCTCGGTGCCCTAAGCTGTCGCCATGCTAGCAGCTCATCACCTGCAGGTGCCACAGAGCCGTGGTTTCTGATGATGCTACTGCGATGCAGGTGGAATTCCGGGAGGCAGGCACCGAGCAGTTTTCTTGTGTCCTCACGTAGTGGCCTACCTCTAAAGTGAGGCTTGCTGCACACATGAAGCTCTCCCCTCTCTTGTGTGTTGTCGAACCGAGCGCTGCGGCAGGCGCCCATCTGGGAGCTGGTTCTTGACGCGGAGCGGCTTGGCGGCAGAACGCAAGCACAGCACATCCTGGTCTGCGGCGCCGGCATGAAAGCATGTTGGAACAGCGGGTGCGGGTTCATGAGAGGCAGGATCATTCAGTTCGAAATGCTGCTTAAACAAAACACAAAATCACGAAACTTGTGGGTTTCGCCGTCTCGCCACACTACTCATAAGACCTTCCGGACGCTCAACATATTGGAAGCATTTTTCTCAGGTCGCACTTCGCGAACGGCCCTGATGGTGTATTGTTTGTGGTGGACTGCACCAGGACCTGGCTCTCTGATCGGAAGAGGTCATTGAACATCGATTCGCCATATATATATATATATATAAGCTGCAGCGTGCCCAACACGGCCCGGACAGGAAGGAGACGGTCGACGAGGTGCTCCTTCACTGGCTGCATGTGGCGCGATACCACTGTGGACCGCAGGCACTGCTATTGCTGCGTCTTGTATACCATGAACAAAAGCGTAAGTATAGTTGATATGTGCCGACCTGTCCGTGAAACGATTTTGTCGGGCTGAGTAGCGACAAGGCTCCTTTTCTGTTTGTTGGCATGAAGAAGGACCTCGTACCGCAGGCGCGGCGTACTCCGATTTGTTATCAAGCAGCGACCAGCCGCCTTGTTGTCTAGGAGGAAGTGACTGCATTGCAGTCTCGTCTGGAGCAGCTGCACCTGCCGACGCTGATAGGCATTCAGCTTGAGCTGGCACTTCCATGCTCAGTAGACGAATGAGTACACATTACACCAAATACACCTTTTGGGATAATACTATCCCCTATGAAACTGAAAGTCTGTACGTTTCTGAATTCAGCAATTCAGTATGTCCTCACAATTCCTCACTGTATCTCCATGTTCTTACTCCCTGACAGGGAGCTGCCTGGATCCTACTTTCCCGAGTTCCATGCTGAAGGAGTTGCCCTTTGAACCGCAATTAGTGCACACGCATTGTCTATTCATTGCATTCATTGCATTTGCAAAAGTTGCTTGGCTTTGCCATGTTAGAGGCTGCGACTTCGTCAGCACCCCCACGCGCATCGCGGAGCCCCTTTGCTGGCGCCATTGCCGTTGCTGGCAGGGCCCGAAGACTGGTTGGCAGTTTAGGCTCGACGCGTGACGACGCGGGCAGGTCGCCGGTTCGGGCGGCGGAAGGAGCAATGACCCGGAGGCTTCCTGGACATTGGTGGTTCTTTGGGACAGAACGTCCCTAGCGTCGTAGCATTAACAAGGGTTTGATGTTGGATCCAGGCGGGCAGGTCCGGCATGGAAGCATATTCAGTAGTCGGTGAGGCAGCCGCCTGTACCTAGCACCCCTCTAAGCCGATTCTTTACTCTAGGTGCTTCCTGCTCTTCAGCGCGCAGCGCTGGCTGCGGACGTCACGCCGAGAGCTCCCTCGGAAGCGCCGAAGTCGGCACGCGAGTCCGCACGCGGCCGTGAAAGCCGCGAGCCTTGGCAGATCGCAAGAGGCACCAGCAGAAGAGTGGAGAGAGCTGCGCTGCACTGCCATAGCTTTACTTCGCCCTGTTGCCAGGCGAAGTCTCCATCTCAGCTCGCATTGATGCGGCAGATCGAGGAGCCTGGCAGGGCGGAGGCGAGATACGTCGGACGTCAGATTCCAGCTGATTCTGTTTCCTTATTTGTTCGACTGGGTGCTGTCGGCATCTCGGGAGACTGAGGACGCAGCCCCTCGTACTTCGGCTTTTGGGCAAATATACCTGTTGTGGCGAAGCAAGTTGAGCCTCAACAGAAGCTATGTGAATCTTTGAAGACATGTCACAATACCTTGGGCTGAGTGCTGTGCAGATGCCAACGCTGAGGGTGCGAACCTGTAAGGAGCGGTCGCTGCTGTTGAAGCGCTGCGGTGCCGGCAGAGACAACCCGGAGGACAGCCGACTAGCCGACCAGCTCCCAGGTATGGACTTCGAACATCTTGAGACAGCAGGAGAAGCTGCGGCGTTTGCTTCGAGAGCTTTCGCAAGTCGAATGCCTGCAGCCCAGAACCATCCAGAACCATCGAGGCCGAAGCAGAAGCTCTCCTGGTTTGTGCATCTTTCAATCTTTGAGGTCCTTACCTCGCGAAGTTCTATGGGGCCTGTTTGGATGAGCCGGAGCAGCCGGTGTACCTCGTGATGGAATACATGTCAGGAGGTGATTTGGAGCGCTTCTTGAGGCCCCCCCGAGAGAGCCTGTGAAAATCGCTTCACAGCAGAGCATCGACCGTGTCAGGAGCAAGCGTCAAGAGCTGCACCGACCCTGGACACCACCCAGGCTTCAGGGAAGCTGCTGCGCTACCGAACTGCGTAGAAATGCCATGCCGCTCGCGAGGTCCTTACTTCTTAGCTGGTCCATCAGCGCTGCCGGTGCTGTGGCTTTCCTTGCGGGGCTCAGTCCCCCGATTGCGCATGGCAACTTGAGACCATCAAATCTTCTCCTTTGCCACCAGGCTGCACAGCAGTTCCTGTCTGGTCTCCCGACTCGGGCAGCTCGTAGTTATCCGTAGTTGGTTTATTGCGCATGATCTCTTTGTTTTCTCCGTGTTTGCGAGGCGGCATCTGCAGGCTCAAATGTTTCGCTTGTTTCTGTTGGTGCAAACTCCTATGAGGAGCTGAAACGAAGAAGATTGGCTTCTGAAAACCAGGAGCAGCACAGTCTCAAGAAAGTCCACAGGAACTCAGCACAGATTGAGCTGGAGGTCTTGGGGAGGCCAACCACTGCGCTGAAAGAGTGCTTGCAGGATAGCTTCGAGAAGTCTGACGTTGTGCCGATCCAACAGCCCGTTAACCCAGGCAAGATATGGCAAGATCAGTGTTGTGTAACCGCCGCCACAAGCTCCAGCCATCAGAAGGTTGATCGGAGCAAGTTGCGGCGGCTGCTCATCACTGATCTTGCAGGTGTCAACGCTGGATAGGCACATCGTCGTTCTCGAACATTATCCTGCAAGTACCGGGGCTCTTCAGATCAGTGGCTGGCCTTCCGCGGGCCTCAGAGAGCGTGCTGATGGATAGTCGCCTTGGCTCATCACTCTCTTGCTTGCTGAGGCCATCCCTTTGCAAGCCCAGAATCGGAGGGAGATTAAGAGAGCCGGGTGCACAAATTGACTGCTGCAAGGCCAGGCCACCTAAAAAGCAAGTTGCACACGAACAGCTACTGCTCGGATAGCCCCTCAGATCCCCTCAGATCCCAGCTCAGGTACCAGCCTGGCATTGCGCCTCAGCCCATCAGGACCGATCAATCAGTTGCGCGCTGCCGTGCATTGAAAGGAGGGCGCCGGTCCGTGCCGGTCTCAGCGTGAAGCTTTCTTTGCTTTGGTACATTCTGCCAGGAGCACTGGCGCCGATTGACCACAGACATCAGGCCGTCCCGAACCAGCCTTGTACCGGCACGTGCTTCTGGCATCGGACTCGCCAGGCAGAGATTGGCGCTCCCAGTTTGGAGAGCTGCCTTTACTCGGCACCAGAGGCATCATCGCTCCTCCTTCGAATTCTGAGCTGAGCCGTGGAACTGGCTGACAGGTCCTTGCAGGAGAGCCGTGCAATGAGGCTGGGGCAGGGTGGTTCTCGAGATTCCCGACGTTCACATCATACTGACAGGTCGAGAAGTGCATTGCAGCCGACGTCTTTGCACTTGGTCTCGTGCTGTGGCTCATGTGCACAGGAGCGCTGTCATGCGAGTGAGATCAAACCTGCATTATGTGCAGCATCGCCGAGAATTGAAAAGGCTTCATTTCCAAGCCTTCGAGCTATCCGAAGCCACCCGACCGGACCGCAGAAGACTGTCTGCCGTTTCGCGGACCAGCTTTCGACTCGGGAGGAATCCGGCCTTTCCAGCACCTGGACAATGACGGCATGCATAAGCCGTCAGACCACGTCATGGAGGCTCTCAGTGTTTTGGTGGGTTTCTAGATGTATAATCTAATGTCCAGGCCGCGCGAGATCTTGAGAATTCTTTGCAGTGTGCTCAAGCCACTCCGGAGGCTTTCAAGGAGGGCCGCGTGCCGCGACCCAGTCTCCAAGCCAGTAGCTGAGTCGATGGTCACAATTCTGTCAGGATCTGGCGGGCTAGCATGGGCCATAGGCCTTAAAGAGACTATGGCTGCCGCTACTTGCATGCACCAAGGCAGTGAAGGACAGTCGGTTTCGTGGTCTTCTGCGACAGGCGCTCGCATTCGCGAAGATGGTGCCTCAGTTCGGTGAAGAGTCCAAGAGAGGCCTGGCACGAGAAGCCGGAGGAGCGGCCTCATCCTGCAGAGATCCTGCGCCGATTGAGGGAGATCGAGGCCGACAGGTGTTCTTGTGGCCTCATCTGCTGGTCGCGAAAAGGTAATGCGGGAATGCGAGTATGATGTTGGGTGTTTCCTATCCCCTGACTTCGCCGGGAGGCAATGCCGTCTGAAAGCCAGTGCTGCAGTGCTATGTGAGCCCAGCCGGCCTTTGCGGCGAATCGGCTTGTACAGAGCAGCTGAGGATTGTAAGGCTGGATTGACGCTTGAGCGAGTCGCTCGAGCGGCAGACTTCAACCGGAAAGCGACGCGATGTACAGAGATCTCCAATTCACGGCATGTGGTGAAGAGTTTGGTGGCAAACGCTTCTTGTGGCCGCACTCTTTACACACTGATATGGCCCGCATTCAGTTTGCCATCCGTGCACCAAAGGCCGTGCACTCCTTCAGCCTTTCTTTCCGCGTGCTGTGCATGCATGCCTCGGGGTAGGACTGCCTGCCAACACCCGCGCAGATCCACAAAAGCACGGAGACCGCGGGATATCCCTGCACATCATTTTGACCTGGAGCCCGGTACAGCACTCTCCGGTGTCGAGGCTTCTTTTGGGTTTCGTGGTCATGATCTTCTTCGGGCATGTCGTCGTGGCGTTATGCAACTGGACAGTTCCGCGAGCCCTCCGGTGGCAGAGTGCGCCCTCTGCTTTGGCTGATACTCGTAGGGCTTCTCAGAGCAGAGCTTTGTGCCGCTCCGGTTATTTGTGTTCATCGTCTTTCCAAGGTTCTGGACAGGTCCGGATTGATAGGCCTGCAAATTACCCTTCTGTTGCCGAATGCAGTCTCCGCTCGGCCCTCAGCATGAAGGTGACTGGAAAGTCTTCAGGAAGCGACCCATTTGTGCTTTCTACAAAACCGTTGGTCAGAAGCATCTCCGGATACTTTGAGCGGATTGAGGTGTTTGCGACGTTTACGACACGAGACATTCGTCGCTTGACAGCCTGCTCAGGTCTTCGCAGCCTCCTGCTTGGCGTGCTGCTGGGGGCCGGAGCCGGTGCCGCGCTCTCTGCCCTTTGGCTCAGAGCACAGAACGTGCTCATCCCCCGGGACACGGCCAGGAACACTGAGCTTCTTTCCGAAGCAATCGGGAAGGTAGCGGGTGCAAGCGTCTTGGACAGGAGGTTTTGCAAAGGAGGAATCTGAATCTTGAGACTGAGGATGCGAACTTTGAGTCCAAGTCCCAGCATCTTGAGCTTTCCGCTCCTCGACGAGGATGACCCGGAAGCGGAGATTGAGCAAGAGATTGCTCAAAAGTCTCCAGGACTTCGTGGAGACTTTGGCATGACATGTCACGATCTGTGGAGGCACTGTTGTAGCTAGTTGAGGTCTGCATACCCGCAGCACTCTCGGATCAAGGGTGTCCTGAAAAGAAGTGAAGAGGACTGTTGAGCTGCGTGTCTTTCCGAATGGAACCGTACACTGCGCAGCGAAACTTGGCCGCTGCTCTCGGACTCGAGCCTCCAAGTGCTCTTGTGAAAGGCAACTCCAGGGCTTCGCGGCTGACTGAGAGAGTCGTGATAACACCGGGTCCCCCGGGTGCAGCTCAAGCTCAAGCTCAAGCTCAAGCCGCCCCACAAGGGAACCGTAACGGTGCAGATGGTGAGACTCCGGCACAGGTACCAGCGAATCGGCCGGGATGAACTTTCGTTGTCTCTCCGTGTTTCTTTCTGTTCCATGCATGAGGAGCTGGCGAGATACACAATTCAAAGGGGTTCCAAGGACACTGGCACCCAACTTGCAGGTGATCAGTTGATTGCTTGAAGCCCGCTTGCCAGCAAGCACAGCGTGATCAGCCAACAAGTGCAGAGGACCGACTTTGGTCAGTTCAGAGCGACACAGCGACTCAAACGTTTCAAACGAGTCGCATCTGAGCAACTCTGTTCGGCGAGTTTCGTGATGAATACGTTTCAGACCGCGCTAAAAATCAGAAGGACGGCTCTCCAGTGTACCGGCACTTGTTAGCTAAAGCAATGATGCGTGATGGTCATGTCGGAGTTTCTAGCTTCTAGCAGCAGTCTTGCAGTCCTTTACTGAACATGTGGAAGGCACTCTTCTAGGTGCGGTCTATATTCTGAGGCATGGGGACCATTTCATGCTTCAAGCCACTTTGTCTTCCGTCGGCTGTAAGAAGCGAAGCTTTTTGGCCTGGCGGCGTGATGGACTCAGCCTCGAGAAGCCTGGGTTTCAGTACTCAGAAGAGTCAGGTTGCATTCTTGAGACTGGATACATCCAATACGTCTAAGATGGCCTGGCAGGCAGCTGCCCCAGGGGTTTGATTAAGATGCTGACGCGGGGCCTGCCTACAGAGCAAAGACAAGCGGGGTGCTTCCATGTTTTGGTGGTGAGCACTGGCGGCCACAGTCATTGTAGACTCCCAGGACGCGTGTGGGCACCTCCCTGCACCATGTCGGCTTCTTGTCTGCACATATCAAGCGTTGGCTTGTCTAGGATGTGCGGGGACGCCTTTGCACAGTGCCTGTCATCCGTTGCAGACATCCTATGATTGCTGCGGCAACTGCGGACACGAGAAGCTGCAGTCGGAGAAGGCGATCTGGCTGCTGGGCACATGGCGCGGTCTGCTGCTGGGAGTGCTTCACGCGTTCCAGCACGAGTCTTGGAATCTCGTAGCACGTGGGAAGGGCAAAGATGGTTGGGAGCAAGCTTGGTGCTTGCAGCGCATACTTGCCTTCACGACTTTGCCGCCGAACAAGGTCATTCACCAACGACTTGCTAGTTTCCACGGGCAGGGATCACAAAGAGGCAAGGGCCGTGAATCATTGGTACTGGTAGCAGGGAACCGTTTGAGCAGCTGGCTGCGAAACTTTAACCCTAGGCAAGAACTTCTGCAAGGCACTGCACCTGCAAAGTCTCACTGCATGCTGCTGTCCTGTTGCAGGCCGGCTCAGTGGTTGCAGTGAACCAGATGATCGCACTGTACCCTGGCTGTCTTTTTCAAAAAGCGACAAATCCGTTCGGTTCGTGCTCCAGCACTTCGTACATGTGCTTCTGCTTTGGCAGTTGGAAGGAGGTGCTTGCTCTTCGCGGGGCCTGCCGTATCGTGACGTATCGTGCTGTGCCGTGCCGAGGCTTTTGATGCCACTGGTAGCTTTCTCCGGATATTTCGTCGGGTTGCGCATCATGCTGGTGGCCGGAAACCAAGCACTTGTGTTGTTCCCGTGTTGCCGAAGCTCCGTGGAGCTGCTGGCATGGCTTCGTCAGGTCATCTCTTTGCTACCATTTTTCGGTACTTTGGCAATGCTGGCCGCGCCTTCATTGCTTCTCGAAGCAGGCCGAAAGAGTGATGAAGGGCTTGCCGCACAGTCCAAACACATCCGGCCAGGTCTCCTGGCCATTGCTATTGCTGCTACAATCATGCCGGTGTTACCTCTGGTACTGGTCCCGGCCAACAGCCGTCACCTGTCAGCGGTACATGCAAGATGAACCTTTACAGCCACTACTTGGTTCAGGGTTCGACAGATGCTGAGATCTGAGGATCTTGTGGCAAGTCCTTCGGCCTGCTCGATTCCCTCTACGGTTTGGGCCAGGTCACGACAAGTGGCCCAAGTTGATTTGTTGACCTGATCTTGATCCTTGCTGACTTTTGAAGATCCGCTTCCATACAGGCCACCGTCACGGTTGCGATCGGTGCCTTGCGGCAGGACCCTGTGCAACTGCATTTAGCAAGAAGTGGTCCTCACATGATATGCTAGTGTTCGGGTGTTCCTGCCATGTCAGGAGGGGGGCTTTGAAGCAGCCTTGCCGTTTCTCGCAGCTGCGTTTGCCTCCGCAGCCCTGCTTTCTGTGTGGGTTGCGCTTGTCGTTCCTCGGGCACTGACTTGGCAGTACTTTAGACTATGGCTTCCGAAGCAGGGTTGAGACAAAAGTGTGTTACAGACGTTTAGTCCTCCCAGTCCTCTGAGGTCCGGGTGTGACGTGCAACTCGCAGCTGCACTTCGGCGGCCTCCGGTCGGATACTCGCGCCGCTTCGGTTTTTGTGCTCGAATAAGGGAGTTTCTTTCTTCCGAAGTGCAGCGAGGGTCCTTGGTTTTGACGGTGTTGTTTGTGATTTGTGGTTTCTCAGGATGCTGGATCCAGAATTTGTAGAGGAGGCATGACAGGTGGCTCCGACTCGAATTTTCATAGTCAGGCATGCGAGCCTGCCACAAGAGTAGTTACGACTCGCCCTGCTGGTTGAATGTTTATATGGAAGCGTGAGCGTTTTCTCAGAATCTCAGACATACGACCTTTCTGAATCTCAGAGCCTGCCCTCGCCCTCCAAAGAGCTCCGACTTCGAGAGAACGCTCACGGCTTTAGCATGCTTTGAGCACTCAGCGGAGGAGTGGGGTTCACGATTTTCCCCCCATTTGCTTCCTCGTTCCAGACTTGTAAATGTCCTCCCCAGCCGAGGTCTCCTCAAAGGAGTGCCTAAGAAGTTGACTTGCAGCAAACTCACCGTTTCCTCGAAATGTCACAGCAAGATGCCGTGTTCGACATAACATCGGTGCTTGTGCAAGTCACCCCGTGCTTGCCTGGTGGAGAGACTTAGTGCTCATGGCCTACTCTTGCTCTTGCGGAATTAGCAGGTTGATGTGTGTGTGCCTTTGTGGAGCTCTCCTTTCAACTGAACCTGAACGCAGTGCTGTCGTGAATTTGCACTTCGGCTCTGAGGCACTTTGGTCAAACCCTCAGAGGGCCTCGCTTCCAGGCAATGCTTCGCAGTTCACGCGCACAGAACAGCAGAGCTATATCTGGTTATCTTCCGACACAGCTTCGCTGATATCAATTTGGGTGTTTTGTCAGGGTTCAGCAGGTCTGTCTCAGCATCTCAGGTCGATTGTGATCTACATGGCCCGGCAACAAGACAGCCAAATTGATGCTGCTTGCTGCCTGCATGTGGAGCGACTAGCTTTAAGTAGCCTTAAGCAACACTTTCTAACGAGGCGGTAAGCGACGTTACGACGGGCACAGAGGTTTGGGAAGCGGCTCGAGCGACTTTGTGTGGGCACGGCACGAACCGATGTGCTCACCATCATGTTGTGCTGTTGCTGCGGTCTGCAGTTCGAGAACGTGGCACGGAGCGCGGCGAAAACCAAAGTCTCTCGAGGATCGAAGGCCCTGAGCCCCTTAGGTAACGGACGGGGGACCAGGAGGCACCATACGGATCACTGAGCACTCGACACGGTGTATAGGTCAGAAAGGACACCAGTGATCATCAGTTTTTGTTCTTTCCAAATGATTGAGGGGTATTTGTTGGAAGGGCGGGTAATGAGGCCTTGGGGATGACGTCGCAGCCTGCAAGAGCCAGCTGGCGCCTCAGAAATGAAGCAGGGGCCGGCAGGCGTAGGACACCCGGCTGTTGCAGAACCAAGGCTTCTTGGGGTTTGCTGGCCAACAGCAGTATGAGTTTGCGGACCTAGTTGGGTTTTCAGTTGACAAGGTTTCATCAAAACTGTAGCAGATTTCGTAACAAGACAAGACTGATGTTCCGAGGTGGTTTCGGAAAGTTCTTGCAGGGCAGCTCTTGGTGTTGCCCTGAGTCCAGCCGAGCTGAGTGTTGAGACATTCCAGTACTGCACATGCTGCCGTCTGTCGAGCTGCTCAGAAGCTGCTTGAGAGGGTGCGGGTCGACATAGCACACAGCAGCTCGAGCTACTCATCGGCTCCTAGGTGCGTGACTTTCTTTTGAGAGAATATATATATATATATAATATACATATATATATATATATATAGATCATACAATATTACATGGTATGACATTGTAATATACAGTATGATATTGATGTTTTTGTCGTCGGACACGAGCATATGGCTTGAGGTGCACATCTTCAGAGGCCGGGCCGAGAGCCGCGAGCCCATCTGCTACGGTGTCGTTTACCTTTAGCTTCTCGTAAACAAAAACGGCAGGCTTTTTCATACAAAATCAGTGAAGCAATTTTTGTAACTGCTGTCGTACAGGCTCGTGCAAGAGCATTAGCTTGCAGGCACTGTCATCGTGTGAGTTCTTGCCATGTTTTGTGTCAATTTGCCGACCATGAGGGTGTGCCACACTCGTGCCCCTACCACAGCGACTGGCTCTTTGCAGAACACCTCCATCTACATCTATCTTTTTCTCGAAGTCAGGGTCAGGCAGTGATGGAGCGTACACAAGCCAACAGACGGCAGCCATTCGCCAGTGGGTGTCAGGTACAGGGTGACTCTTGGATGCTGCACAAGAGCACGTCTGTTCAACATTGTACTTGCTTGTTTGTAAGTGGCGCATTCTATGTCGAGCTTACTTACAAAACTTGGATTGGCAACACCAGAAAGGCTGAAAATCACAGCACTTGCCTGCCAGGCCCAGCACCAGTTCTGGAAGCTGACAGACGAGGACGCAATTGACACGGGATCTTGACCAGTTTCTCGTTGTGCTCGGTCGGCAGGAGCTAGGTGCGCTCCTGTCGGACGAGGTGGGAGCCGTTTCCCTGGACTTTATGTTCCCGGACCCTTCACTGTGGTGAGGTGCTGCCTTGGCAGCTTGCACCCGGACCCTTTTGGGGAGTGGGTCCGGGCTTTCCGGGCCTTCCGGGCCTCGGTGTTTGACGAGAAGCCGACCGCGCTTTTCCTGGAGCCATGCATGACGCTGCAGAAGAATTTGTCGGATTTGGTCGGACATGCTATGCACGGTTTGAGCCGGCGAGAATGGCCCGCTCCACCTGCAGGTTCCGAAGCAGAGCGCAACACAATTGCTGCTCTGCAAACCTCCATGGATAGTAGGATAGTTGTGGATCAGAGCGATCAGAGGCTCGTGGAAAGTTTTAAGAAGCGATCTACGTCGGTCATTGGGTTCTTGAGTCATATCGGTGTCCTAATTGCTTTCTGACATGCAGCCACTCATGGAAGGGAAAACATAAGGCATTCACAGTCATGTTCCAGCAGAGTTTTGTGAAAAGGAGTCTTCAATTTCAGATTGGTTCGGGCGCGTTTGTTCACGTGCAGACTGTGACGAAGGCTCCGAGGCAAGTGCGTTTGTGTTGAGACCAAGTACTTCATCATGCCAGCCTGCCTGCCCTTTGCAGAGTCGTCAAAAGATAGAGGCATGACAACCTTCTGGCGGCGAGTTTGAGGTTTGAGAAAGTTGTGAATCTGAGCTCAAGATGCGAGCCTGTGTCTTCTGGAACAGATCTCCACTTGACGTTTGGTTCGTCCTGAGTTTTCGCAAGGTTGCATAAGCCGTGTGCGCATGGCTTCCGGTAGTGGCCTGACAGTTTTGGCGCATGTCACCTGAGCGACTCCGCAGTTTCTGCTATGTGCCGAGTCAGGGGTTGCAACGAGCCTCATCTCCGTCACTATCTACAACTGGGTACAGGTTTTGCTCAGGTGTACCTACATACGTCTGTATGTTTGTATGCGGATGCTAGGTAGGTAGGTAGGTAGGTAGGTAGGTAGGTAGGTAGGTAGGTAGGTAAGTAGGTAGATAGATCGGTAAGTGTGAACATGTATATGATATGTACATATACGTATACATACACACATATGCGCACATATATATATATATACACACACAGCAGGTATACGTATACACACACGAAGCACAAAGCACTTCGACTTGAGTTCTGCAGATCGCTGACAGCAAAGTCTCGCCAGCTTGGCTTTGCTTCATGGTCGATTCAGGTTCTGCAGGGGGCCCTGCTCGCACCGAAATGCCAATGGGGCTGTATCATGCCAGCGCCCGAGCAGATGAGCTCTGCTTCTTCAGCAACGAAACGCAAAATGCTGTTTTCAAGTATGACGGCATAACGCTGTTTGGGACATACAAAGTGGAAGGTTCCTGCGTGCAGGTCCACTGGCATCGGAAGGTTTATACCAAAATAGGTCGCACAACCAAGCAGATAGAGGAAGACATTGACATGCAAGAAGAAATGGGCATCGAAGAAAACGGATATGCCGCTCGATTCAGAGATGCTGTGTACAAGCACCAGCGCTTGACAGGATGGAAGGACGACTGATTGCACGAACTAAAGCCGCGAAACAGCAGCATCACGGGGGACGCACCTGGATGCCTATTGCTCCTTCACCGGCTATCGACGTCCACGTCCTCGTCTCTGTGGACATCTCAAGCCCACACCTTGATCAACCGTCCGAAGAACGAGCTTGGTACGTGAACTGGTCTTGAGCTTGGGCCGGAAGACTTTAGCAAGGATTCATGAATGCGAGGAAAAAGGGTGAGCTTCCTGCAGAGATCCTTTTCATTTTCCGAATCTGCACATCGCCGCTGTTACCCGAAAGGTGCTGTCGACAAAGTACCGGCGATCCGGGGCTCACAGCCATGTCAGAGAAGTGAGACACGAGGTGCAATATATTGAAGCAAGAGCTTTCGACTTTCGGAGCCTGCGTCCGGATCATGGGTATGTTCAGCTTGCAGGAGGCCGGCATGAATCTGAGGGCACGGTGTTTCCGTGTGCAGTCTGCATTTCCACTTGTGATTCCGTCTTCTCCTGACCAGTGTTTCAGGAACTGCTGCAGTTCTGGGAAGAGCTCGAGATCTCAGCATGTACGGTAGCGCATTTGTTAAACTGATGACACAGGTGTGCAGCCTTGAGGACTTGCTCGAACAAGTACTTGTCTGGACAAGCGTCTCGGGGAAGCTTGGAACTCGCTCAGGAAGGCTGGCCATGGCGTGCACCGTCCTGAGGGCAAGCCACGAGCTCAGCAGTTCCTCCTGCAGCGGTTCGAGCAGACGCAGCACCGGAGTGAACGATTGTCAAAGTGCACCGCATTGCCTGCAACGTTCAGTCGAGGCCGGTTCCGCCTTCCACAGCTCCGCTGGTCCATCCAAGCTTTTGCGGTGTTTCCAGTTTTTGCTATCTTGCGGGAGCTTCATGCTGCTGTACGGCATTTGAGGCTTTTGCTCCCATGTTTGATCTCTTACTTTCTTGCAAGGATTCTTCCAAAAACTTGCACAAACTTGAACATGGAGATGTCAGCACGGAGGGATCCCTCTAGAAGTAAGAACTTGCTAGGTCCGCTAGGTGCTCTGAGCTAGATCTGAGCAATGGACTCCTGCAGCGGGGCCTTGGGAGATCCCTGGCTGGACAAGCTTCCCGGCATAGTTGCGGGTGCTTTCCTCAGGCTGGCAGTTGTGAAAAACATATGAGCTGCAGCCATGCCTGCCAGCTGCAAGCCTCACAAGACTTCTCACCGCTCGGCGCTTGCAGGAAGTACATCGCAGAGCGCTTCGTCTCGACTTTGGGCGGCGAGGCTGGACTGAGTTGCGCAGTTACTGACTGGACACAGGTGGCATGTACAGCCGAAGGGTAAAAGACCAACTTCGAGCTGTGGGACCCGTTTCCATTCGATCAGACTTGCATACCGTTGCAAGTCAGCCCTCTCTCAGATTCAGTCTGTGCTGGCACTGAAAGGGGCAGTTGAACGCTAGATTGATCATTGTCTGTGTCATGAGTCAGAACCCCGGTGCAGGTCCACAGCTACTCTGAGCACAATGGCCTCTCCTTGCACTTCCTTCCACAAGAGGATCAATCATCCAAGAAAGGTTGCATGGTCTTCGTGCATGGAGGAGCCCAAGTGAGAGAAAGACACTGCTGCCGTTCAGCTTCGATATGCGCTTCAAGCCGCTCCCAAGCTGTTGCAGGTGGTTTCCTCGGGGGAGCACCTTCGCAGTTCTATCCTTACGCGAAGGACTACCGTCAGGAAAGAATTTAGGCGACTGCAGCTGGTTACTGCGACTTCAGGAGGTATCCCGCCGGTATGGCATCTCCACCGCGTGCTGCGAGGTGAGCTGCCTCCTGACGCATCCGTTTTCTAAGGCCAGGCCGCTGGGCTGTTGATCTTCTGACAGTTCTGTGCAACCTGAGCGCTTCAGGTGCCCTTCGACAGCATCGACGATGCCCAGCGTTGCGTGCGCTACCTGCAAGAGAACGCAGACAAGATGGGGATCGACCGGGAGAAGATCGTCTTGGCAGGTCTTGGTCTTACGCAGGAAACGATGTGTAGGGTGCGATGTGCTACTCCTGACAGATGCGCACGCACTCTCCCTTGCTTGAATCAGACTGGAGAAGGACATAGAAGGACTGGCATCACATTCAGAGATCTGTCATCTCTTAAGTTCCCTCCACTTTGCTTGATGCAGGCTTCAGCAGGAATCAAGACCACTCGAGCAACGCGAAAACGCAAGTCCACTTCGCACCTGTCGCACACCCTGTCCAACTCCTATCCGTGTCCTGCCAAGAGTTCATTGCCATATCTTTCAAAATCTTCACCTTACCTTGCGCAGAATGTGCACTATTAGCACGCACACGCGTGGTCCTTGCTGCGGCACCTGGCACGCCCCTTGAGGCTGCACAGGAATGCAGGTTTGGTAAGCAGAACCAAGAGGCAGAAGACTAAGGTAAGGAAGGCCCAGGGGTAGCAGGAACCAGTGAACTGCTCGGCCATCCCGGCTCGATTGATTCGGACTTTTACTCGTATGGTGCACCTCGCTGCAAACTCAGGTGCCTCAAGCGGAGGCCACACGGCCGCCATGGCGGCTCTCCGCGAGAATCTGGGCTTAGCAGGGTGCCCCGTCGCAACCACGCACAATTACATTAAATAGGCTCCCACGATGGTAGGATGTCGGCCGCAGACAAAGAGGTGTGGTAAAGACCAAGGCTGGTTCTTTTCAACCCAGTGCTCGATCTGGAGTTCACGCAGCGCTTCAGCGACAGACGGCTTGCAACTTGGCTGGGCAGCCTAGCGCTGCGATGGCGCTATGGCGAGCAGCAGCTGCGGGCTGGTTCACCCATCCATCGGGTGCGCTGGGAGCTCAGAAGGCTGGTGACAAGCCGACACCAGGTCTGCCGGGGCTGATCGACCTCAGGTCAGCTCTCACAGCCCACGCTCATTCTTCATGGCACGGCTGACCACCTGGTGCCGATCGAGGAGGTGCAGGGCTTCCAGCGCGGGCAGCTTGGCGCAAGAAGCGATCAAGCTGCGCTGCCAAGCTAGCTCGCCTGCCAAGGATGGAAACTACGGGCAGTGACTGTAAACTGGTCACTTTCCCTGGCGAGGGTCACTTCTTCTTTAATTGGAGGGCTACTCGGCGGCAAGTTGCAAGGCTCATCAGTGGGCTTTTGTTCTATTGATCAGGTAGCAAGCATCCTTAGTGCCTTTCTTGTAACTTTTTGTTTGTTTATTTTGACTTGCATTTCTTTTAGCCCTTTTCGCTTTTTCGGCTGGCAGGAAGGCTAGTACTACTACGAGTTTTGGGACGACGACTAGTACTGCTCCTCCTGCCGTTCAACTGCCACAAGTATGCCCACTCCTGCTTCGGGTCTTCCCCATGCGCTTGCTCCTACTCCAAGTATTACATGTACTACTACTACTACTACCACCACTACTACTACTACTGCTACTACTACTACTACTACTACTACTACTACTACTGCTACTACTACTACTACTACTACTACTACTACTACTAGTACCACTACTACTACTGCTACTA